TAAGATAAACTAAAGAGACTTCATCTTTAAAAATTTAGTTGAAATTCGGGGCACCTGGGTGGCTCAGTCGTTAAGCGTCTGCCTTCGGCTCAAGTCATGATCCCAGGGTCCTGGGATCGAGCCCCACATCGGGCTCCCTGCTCAGCGGGAAGCCTGCTTCTCCCTCTCCCACTCCCCCTGCTTATGTTCCCTCTCTCGCTGTCAAATAAATAAATCTTTAAAAAAAATAAAAAATAAAATAAAATAAAAATTTAGTTGAAATTCAATAATAGAAATATAAATATGACCTCGGGGTACCTGGGTGGCTCAGTCAATTAAGTGTCCAACTCTTGATTTCAGCTCAGGTCATGATCTCAGGGTGGTGGGATTAAGCCCCACGTTGGGCTCTGTGCTAGGTGTAGAGCTTGCTTAAGATTCTCTCTCTCCCTTTCCTCCTTCTGCCCTCCCCCCCCCGCCCCAGCTTGCTCTCTCTCTCTCTAAAAAAAAAAAAAAATGAAAAGAAAAAAGCAATATAAATATGACCTCAATCGGCAACATTGCCAGTGGTTGTTCTCCATTTATATTTAGTGATCAAAAATGTCAATATTTAAGTCAAATATCTATAAAAATATGTGCAGTTGATTTTAGCACAGTTCCCTTTTATTACAAGTGTCGACCTTTATAATTTTTGAAAATGCTTCTTTTGAGACCCTGCTTCATGATGTCTTCTACAAATAAGGACTTATGTACTCAATTAACCATTGGATATATTGTTTCTGCGAGAGCAGTAAATGACTCCAAGAAGAGCATATCTATTTCTGGTTCCCAGAACCACCATTCCACAGTTGCTTGAGGCATAATCACAGCACCTTGAGTAAAGGCTTTCTCCTACTGAAATCTATGACATGGCAGGAAGAGTTGGGCTCGCTGCTGTGAACTTAAGGGAACTAGCTCCCTCGTGCCTGGCTCTGAGCATCAAACTAATCACATACCAACCTTTTTCCCCCCTAAGTGTCAGACACCCTGACTCAGCTTTGAAAAACCTACCAGTCCAGTTGCTTAATTTCATTAGCCAAGTAATCTGGTTTGTGTTGTGTGAGTGTGTTATTTATGCATGCACTGAAATGACAATTTACAGACAATAAGAACTCATATTTAAAAACAAAACAAGGGGGGCACCTGGGTGGCTCAGTCGTTAAGCATCTGCCTTCGGCTCGGGTCATAATCCCAGGGTCCTGGGATCGAGCCCCGCATCCGGCTCCCTGCTCGCTGGGAAACCTGCTTCTCCCTCTCCCTCTGCCTGCCACTCCCCCTTCTTGTGCTCTCTCTCTCGCTGTGTCTCTCTCTGTCAAATAAATAAATAAAATCTTTAAAAAAAACATAAAAACAAATAAAAACAAACCCAGAAAACTAGGTCTCAGAGAACAGAAATCAGTATGTCCAAACCATGACTGCATGTGGGGAAGATGTCATATTTTCCTCCAATTAAGGCATCTTTGACAAGGTCAGTGTTTTCACTCCCATGAATAACCTTTTGCGGGTCATTAATTAGACCCTTACATAATAACAAAGAAATTAATAAGAAAGTTTGATATTAAAGCAAAGAGATGAGAAAATAATTCTTCCTCACTAAAAAAGAGAAAAGCTATTTTCATACGGTTAAACAAATGGACAGAAGTGTTTTGTTGAGTTAAACACAGGTTTAGTTCATTCATTCAAAGGTACCTGGAGAAAAAAAAAGAGCTTTTAGTAGAGATGTTATCCTCAAAGAATACTCATAAGAGAGAAAAAAAATGCAAGTGAAATCAAGTTGGCAGAGAAAATTGACACATACAATTGCTACAATAGACCAGCTAATGTTGGTCTTAAAACTCAGTTACGAGGGGCGCCTGGGTGGCTCAGTCAGTTAAGTGTCCGACTCTTGATTTCAGCTCAGGTCATGATCTCAGAGTCCTGAGATCAAGCCCCACGTTGGGCTCCGCACTGAGCATGGAGTCTGCTTGAGATTCTCTTTCTCCTTCTCCCTCTGCCCCTCCCCCTGCTCTCGCTTGCTCTCTCTCAAAATAAATAAATAAATAAAATCTTTTTTAAAAACTCAGTTATGCAAACTGTATAAAACCTGAACATGCCTTAATTAATATAAGTGAGAATGAGCAGCATCACTTTCTGTATCTAATTGTACCGAGAACTCCTAGTGAAGAGCATGCTCAAAAGAGTACAGAAGTAAGAGATGGGCACGGAGCAAAGTTTACAACTTCCGCCTCACAGCTAACTATCCTCAAACATACTGTGCTTTAAACTCAAAGTAGGCATGACACATGAAAACCCTCCTAGCTCTTGCTCTAGACGCGACTCTTTTCATCTTTTACTCAAAAAAGGCCGATGCTCCCCAGAATGCTAGAATTTGCCAGTTCTCTGAAAACATGATGGGGAAAACACACAGGTAACAACTTTGTTTTGACAGTCAACTGACACCTATATGACTGTCCATGTCAATTATTTCTCCAATTGTGGAAATATGATATATTTTAATTGAAGACGTAATTCCAGCATTCAGCATCCTTTTTTTTTCTTCTTCTGATTTTTTGGCTTGGACCAGAGTTATCCAGTCTCCAATGGGAGGAGTTTCAGGACCACAGCCCTTTATCTGCCCTTCCACACTGCTCATATCACAAGGCCAAAAGTACAAGTACCTGCCCATAGCAAATAGTCCCAGCATATTTGCTCACAAATTCTCAAATCCCATGGAAAGCAGGCCAAAAGCGCCCAAGATAGTAGAAGGCAGTGCATTTAAGAACAACCTAACTGAACAGATGCCTTTTCTTATGTATTTTACCACCACTTTGCTTGTGTTGGTGGCGCTGGTGAGGGGATGAGCAAAGGCCTTATTCTCTATACTGACTCTTTGCTACTTAGTTTAAAGGACCCCCCCCACACACACACAAACACACAACTGAAAGCAAAAAGTCCTTCAGATGGATGGTCAATTGTGATGGTTAATTTTATGAGTCAACTTGACTGGGCTAAGGGATGCCCAGATAGTTGGCAAAGCATGATTTCTGGGTGTATCTGTCTGTGTTTCTGGAAGAGATTAACATTTGAGTCAGTGGACTGAATAAAGAAAATCACCATCACCAATGCAAGGGCATCATCCAGCCATTGAGGGCCTAAATAGAACAAAAAGGGCGAGGAAGGGCAACTTCACTCTCTCTGCTTGAGCTGAGACATCTATCTTCTCCTGCCCTTGGACATGGATGCATCTCGTTCTTAGACCTTTGGACTCAGACAGAATTATACCACCAGATTTCCTGATTCTCCAGCTGGCAGATGAACATCATGGGATCTTCACTTCTCAGCTTCCATAACCACATGAGCCAATTCCCTTAATAAATCTTTTATATCTATGTATGTATGTATGTATGTATGTATCTATCTATCTATCTATCTATCTATCTATCTATCTATCCATCAATCTATCCATATCTATCTATCTATTGTATTGGTTCTGTTTCACTGGAGAATCCTGAATAACACAACAATGTTCTTGCAGATGTTGGGCATCTGCCTTTGGCTCAGGTCATGATCCCAGAGTCCAGGGATTGAGTCCTGCATCGGGCTCCTTACTCAGCGGGGATCCTGCTTCTCCCTCTGCCCCTCACCTCACTTGTGCTCTCTCTCACTCTGTCCCTCTCAAATAAATAAATAAAATCTAAAAAAAAAGAAAGAAAGAAAGAAGAAAGAAGAAGAAAGAAAGAAAGAAAGAAAGAGAAAGAAAGAAAGAAAGAAAGAAAAGAAAGAAAGAAAGAAAGAAAGAAAGAAAGAAAGAAAGAAAGAAAAGAAAAGAAATATAACCATAGCTGATGTTGACTGCAGACCAGGCCCCATACCAGCTGCTTTCTACCTGCATTTGATCATTTAACTCTCATGGCAGTGTTTTTATTCCCAGTTTAAAATGAGGAGACAGGGCGCCTGGGTGGCTCAGTTGGTTAAGCGACTGCCTTCGGCTCAGGTCATGATCCTGGAGTCCCGGGATCGAGTCCCGCATCGGGCTCCCTGCTCGGCAGGGAGTCTGCTTTGCCCTCTGACCCTATCCCCTCTCATGTGTTCTCTCTCATTCTCTCTCTCTCAAAATAAATAAATAAAATCTTTAAAAAATAAAAATAAATAAATAAATAAATAAATAAATAAATAAATAAATAAATAAAATGAGGAGACAGAGGCATTGAGAGGCTAACTAATCTGTCAAACTACGTGTACAGAGGCTAACACAACTAGCAAGTGACAAAGTCAGGGGGCAGTCCTTGTCTTTCTGATGCCTCCTTTTACACAACCCTGCCTCCCTGCGTTAGGGACTGACTGTTCACTCCCAGGGCTTCCGTGGCCTGTTCTTTCCAGACATTCAAAGGACAATGGAATGGTTAACTCCTAGTAAATGTCATGATAAAAATCACAGAAGTTTTCTCTAGTCTAGAGAAAGCCAAACTATTATTAGTATGAAAAACAGGGCGCTTGGGTGGCTCAGTTGGTTAAGCATCTGCCTTTGGCTCACATCATGATCTCAGGATCCTGGAATCGAGTCCCGCATCGGGCTCCCTGTTCAGTGGGGAGTCTGCTTCTCCCTCTCCCTCTGCCCCCGTCCCCCCGCTCATGCGCATGCGCACACGCGAACACACGCTCTCTCCCTCTCTCTCTCACTCTTGCTCTCTCTCAAACAAATAAATAAAATCTTCTTAAAAAAGAAAGAAAAACAAAACTCGCAGTTAATCTGACATTAATTTACCATGCCTTAAGGATTGAGTGCTACATTTTTGATTTGCTAATATATCCCCTTTCTAAAGAGTGTTGTATAGCTGATACTTTTGTTTTCAATCAGAATGGAAAAATATAGGTTTCAAAACTGTTAAAGATATCATGACAGTGCTTGAAATTTTTTTTTTTTTCAGACTGGGAAGTCTCAAAACCAGAGTGCGGAATAGCTAGTTTGAATCGTGTTCTTAAAATACTAAGTTTAGCGGACTTACCCAGATGAAGCTCACATGTTGACACTGCGAAGTTCTGGATTGTCCTTTGGCAGAGGGAAGTAATCTATTATAACCCACACTTCAACCTCCTCTTCCCATGCTTCCAGTCTTTGGAATAGCAATAGCTTGTCTCTCCAGCTTAAATCCTCAGCAACGTCTCTATGTTCTGTCAACTGCTAATTACTGTCCTTCTATTGCTGCAATCTTTTTCTTCCCACTTCCTTTCTGTTGCAACTGCCTACATCCTCGTTCAGATGCTTCTTCACTCTGGCCTCTAAAGTGGTTTCCTTCTCTGCCCCCGGTTCTTCCTTATATTAAAGCACATCGGTCTATTAGCATAAAGCACATCGATCTATGAGCATAAAGCACACAGATCATCTTCAAACCTTCCAGGGGTTCCCTAGTGCCAAGCCAGAAACAAGAAAAACAATGGAAAGCAAAATGCAAAGCAAAACACAGTTCTCAGTTTGGCATTAATGGACCCCCCCCCAGAATCTGATCTCTGTTTATTTTTCCAGACAAAATGGCTTCCCTATACCCCATCCCACTGCAGCCTCCTCTGTGGTCACGGACGACAATGCAATCGCTTCCTAAAACACCTGCTCTTTTCCTACCAGAGCATTTTGTGCTTCAAAACACTTACCACTTACCTGACATGTTAGTTCTGTGAAGGCAGAAACTTCCATTTGGTGCGCTATAAAGATCTGTTAAATGAATGAGCGAATGAATGGAATTCTCCCCAGGTGGAATGTTCTTTCCTCCCATCCTTACCTGTCTATATACTATCAGTTCCTTCCATGCATCATTTAAATCATTCCTCCTCCATAATCCCTCCCTGGTGATCCTCACAGAGTCTGTCCCTTGACTCTGTCTGCTCGTCTCGTGCTTAGCTCTTCTCTGTTCTAACACTTCCACCGGCTGCCTCAGATTACAAGCACCCCTGTCTCTGGTTCTCCCTGCTAGAAAAACCCCTGGCCCATGGTTTTGGGGCTCAAAAAAAAGAAGCTCAAAAAAAAAAATCATGTATTAAACTGAAAAATCTCTGTATGAGATTTTTTTATCTTCAGGGACAAAATGTGGAGTATATATATCTATACACTATATATGATTAAATAAAAGATCAGTAACTTCTTCTGGAAAGAGCCAGATAGTAAATGTTTGAGGCTTTGTGGCCCAGAAGATATCTCTGTTACTTTTACGGCAAAAGCAGCCATAGACAGCGTATAAATAAATGGGCATGGATGTATTCCAATAAAGCATTATTTATAAAAGCAGGCCATGAAAGGGATCAGGATATTACCCCAAAATATGCCACTTTGACATAAGAATTATTTTGAGTGGAAGGCATTTGAGTTCCCGGAGTCTCTTATATACTAAAAGCAAAGCCTCCCAAAAGAGCTCAACTGTTTTAATCCCCTTCTCAGGAACAACTCTAATCTTCTCTTCTCTAGGAGAACACCCAAACAGTCATGGCCACAACACTACCATATCTCCCATCTCTTCTCCTAAAGGCCTCTGCTCCTTCCCATACTCTACAGAGATGATATAAAAGCTCCAAATTCTAACTTCCCTCTGAATCACATTTTTCTGTGAACTACTGAGTACCTCTATGAATCAATGCTAATCCGCCTTTTGTCCATTTAATTTGCAGACCTCCAAGCACTGAACCTAAGAGGGTAGAGAAAAAGGTAGGGTTTTTTTTCCTGCCCCAAAGTTAGGTTGGGCCCAAGGGGCACAGTTTTCCAACCTCGCATTGAATTATAACATCAAATTAGTAGAAACAATGACTGCTGTGTTTCTTCGGCTTCTCCTCTCACTGAGGCAGGCAAAACTCTGTTTCTAATTAGGATCAAAACACACTCATTCCTGTACTTCAATAAAGGGCTTCTCAGTGCTGATGTCTATGTTCCTGCTGGAGGGATGCAAAAATAAATATGTGAAAAGTCACTTGTGAGAGTCCAGTACATAAATATTTGGCATTTTGTGGTATCATTTCCTTCCTTTCTGAATTTCCCAATTTATATCCTGTTGATATTTAAACCTTGTTTGTTAATTTTTTTGACACTGAAAATAGATTCTGTTTTCAGAGTGATGTGTCATTCTATACATATCTAACATTTTCCCCTTCTAAAGAATTCCTTTTCAATGGAGGAGGGAAAAGCACATAAAAAAATAAATCAAAATACTGGGCTGAAAATTCATTATGGTCTCAACTATATAACAAGTGTTCATAGAATTGGTAAGTGAATAATTCTCAATTGCAGGGACAAATTTTGTTTCAGTAGAGATCTCTGCATTGGGCATGGATGTATTCCAATAAAGCATTATTTATAAAAGCACACCCTTCCAGGCAGTCAGACTGTGGCCCTGTTCGTCGTCAATGAACTATTTTGCATCTCTTTGTAAACTGCAGGTAACTGATAGATACACAAACTCTGTCTTGTCTGACAGAGATTTCGGTGACTTCTTCTCCCTCTGGAAAAAACAATGTTGGTCCCTACCCGCAAATTGGGCTGGATCCTGTTACTTTGCCCAAATTATCCATTCTTGCTAAATTGTCAATTCTTCCAGTTTTCTTGAGCATCTGGCCACAACACTCCAAACTCACAGATCCAATCTCTTTCCCTCCCGCCTGACTCAGAGTCACCATGAACTAAAACCTGACTGCCCAGAAGCTCTGACTGTTGAGACTCTGGACTCCCTTGCAGCTGACCTTCCCCCCCCACCCCCCCGCCCCGCCATCATGACCTAAAGAAACCTTGCAAGCTGAATCGCAAAGACGTGATATAAACTTTGAAAGACCCAACTCACTATTGCAACAGATCAGAACCACTGTCTGGACTACTAAAGAAGTCCAGCGAAATGCTCAGGTCATGCATGGCCTGATATGATTGGTAACCAAGACTGGACAACATGACTGAGAGTATGAACATACTAACTTAAGAGCTTCCAGAAGATCAGTGAGCTGTGCTGTCTGACTGGTGCTCACAGAATTCTGGCCTCCAGAGAGGGTGCATGCGTGGTATTTGGAGGCAACTGCTATCCATTTGTTCCCCAAAACTTCTCTGACATCTTTACAGTTGATAACCTGATAGCTGACAATCACGTTCAAGGCGCCAACAAAGAAATATGTCAAACAACTACAATTCTTCTGACCCCTGAGCTACTGAAGATTTTCCTCCACCCATTTTGGGGGATCTAGTTGTGTTGTTTTTTTTTATATCAGAGTTCCTCTTTTTCACTTCAGGCAGCCCTCTTTTGAAATGCCTGATCTCCAGGATCCTAAAACAACTTACCTTTGCCAGCAAATCTTAACTGATGGTTTAACTGGTCAGAAACAATGGCAATAAGAGTCTTAGAAAGACTATTTCTTAGACCCTGTTTCCTCCACTCGGGTTTATGATCACGTCTGAGTTGTTAAGTGATTCATGCTATTTGCCTTCAACAAAAGGGGGGGGCTCTGACCACATTAAATTTTATCTGAGCCCCATGTTCCCAGGAAGCAGCAATGGTTAAGAAATTGCTCCCCCTTTTCCAGGAAAGAACAAATGCAAAGGACCACCCTATCCTTGGAATTCAGAGATAAGACCCACCTCCACCTTTTCTCATGACTCCTGATAACTCCCATAAGATTTCTTGCCCACCTGCCCCATGACACCCTTGTCTACTTGCCTCTATAAAACCTCAAGTGTTCTCTTTCTTCTTTGAGATGTTTCTAATTAATGAACATTCTTCCGCTTGCAATGGCCTGAGTAAAATCATCTCCTTAACTATCCAGTGCATTTTGTCTTCTTTGCTGTGTTCAAATTTTTTATAATCAACATTTATTGTCGTAGAAGAGGAAAAACTTAACTTTTTTCCTCTACCCTCTTAGGTTCTTGGATGGGGGCTCCTGCAAATTGGACTGACAACAGGGAGATTAACAAGAGAAAACAGTTTATTAATATGTACATTGTACGTATACACAGGAATACTCAGTGATGAGTATTATTAAGTAATAAAGAGGTAGTTAGAACTTAGACTTACACAGCATCTTAACAAAAGAACAATACATTTTAGAGAACTGACAAAGGAGAAGGACTTTGAGTTTTGGAAGGAAGCAAATTGCAGGAAGGCAAATATATGGGGAAACGAATGGAAAATCGGGACTAGTTAGTAATGCCTCTGGTGTCATCTCTGGGCTGATAAGAGTCTAGAGTTGTCTCCAGTGATTAAGAATCTTCCTGCCCTTCCTGGGGAAGAAAGAGAGGGCAGAGAGTTTTTCTTGTGTCTGCTGCTTCCCAGTAGCCTTCCATTCAATAATCCTCATGCAGTGACATATTTTGGGGTGGCATGCTCTGAAAGCCTTCATTATTCGTATATTTTTAAAAAAATAAGTAGCACAAAAGTTCTTTTGTTTGTTTTCCTTTCAAAAAGTGTTTTGGCGGGGCCCTGGGTGGCTCAGTCGTTGGGCGTCTGCCTTCGGCTCAGGTCATGATCCCAGGGTCCCGGGATCGAGCCCCGCGTCGGGCTCCCTGCTCTGCCAGAAGCCTGCTTCTCCCTCCCCCACTCCCCCTGCTTGTGTTCCCTCTCTGCTGTCTCTCTGTCAAATAAATAAATAAAATCTTTAAAAAGATTTTTTTTTAAGTGTTTTGGCTTTCTATAATCATATGATGATTTTCCAGAAAAGGGACAAATGGTTTTGGAACTCTATTGGTCCTTCTGCATACATTTTTTAGTGACAGCTGTAGTTCTCTATATTAGGATCTCTATTTTACTGGTGATGATGATATAGGCTCAAGGATATAATGCCTTGCTGCGCCAGACATGGAGTTCGCTGGCACTCACCATTTCTTTGTGCCTTCTTCTATGCCTCTCTTGGTTTTCAGAGGTTAGAAGTCTGGGAACCACATTTCCCAGACTTCCTTGCCGGCAAGATTGTGGATTCATTTTAGGTTCCCCTAATGAAACGGTGAGGCACAAAATTTGGAAGGTGAAGAAAAGTTACCTGCAGATAGACCTCTTTGTGCCAAATGATAGGATTTTTTTTTCATTAGCTTCCATGAGTTTCTCAGCTAATCACTCTCTGTGATGTTACTGGCAGCCATGACTGTTGGTGGCGGTCTCCTGTGATTCCTTTCCTGGACACCTGAAGCAGCCTCCTGAGTCTCTGGAGC